ATTTGGAGATGGAACACTCTTTATCATATTTTTTTCACTTATGCTTAGAGACATTGTTGCACTCGATCTAGAATATGGAGCTAGGGAAGTGTTAAAATGTTTAGTCGATGCCAAATTTATAGAGTTCCTATTCAAGATATTGAGTCTATGTTATGCAGGACACGCAAGCCCGCCACACATGCACTCACACATCTGTACCATTACGCATTCATTTTCCTTTAAAGCTCTATGAAGAAATAAGTATTTATATCAAGTTGAGCTAACTCAAGATTAGATAATGCGACCGAAGCAATAATAATCAACCAGACAAATGTTTAAACATCATCATAATATATTCCTTCTTATGTTGATTGTAATGGAGTTTCTCTCTTCTCCCTCTTTCATTATCATCTTTCACTTATGAATTTTCATACTTGATATATATCTTCTTTGTAATTACATGAAATCCCATCTCCATCTGAGAAGAGTGAACTTGTATACTGGTGGCAATAGATTTTAATTTTTTGTCAAATCTCTAAAATTGTTAATGATTATGGTTCCTTTACACTTTCATTATGAATGGTTATATATTATGATTTTGCAATAATCTTCAACATTTTCAGGGTTTGAAGATAACTTTCATTTGACATTTAACTTCTAGGCCAAGCAATTTACACTATCTCTATTTTTATAACTTTTGTGTTTGTTTTTCCCCCATAACGAAAATAAGTCATCATTGATTATTATATTTTAAAAGAATTACATTTATGCCTCACAATTCTTAGATATTTACATATAGAACACCTAATTTTTTTATATATTTACATATGGAACACCTAATTAAATCGTATATATAACATCAAAAAAAGATATATATAGATGTAAGATCAAAGTTTAGGTGTTAGATATGTAAACGACAAAGAAATTATGTGGTATGTATGTGAACGTTTTAAGGTAAATTGTTTAATTATAATCAACATTTAACACTATAGCCTAGCATCAATTCAATATAAATTTAAGGCTTATATGAATTTATAATCAACCTATAGAACAAATATAATCAAATCACTTAATAATACCGTCGAATGGTCATAATATTTTTACCAACTAAAACCACCAAGATTTAGTAATGGCTATCTTCTCTTCAAAGATCTTAATTCAAAATAATTAAAAATTTTTGCTTAGAAACATATATATATATATATATATATATAAGAAATGGTCAAAAGATATTATAAAAATCTCCAACTAATCCTAATATGTACAAACCGTCTTTTAAGGCCAACTATGCTAAAGAGAATTTGAATCCCCAATCTGAGGAATCTTATACCATAGATATCAATCAACAAATCAGGATACGTGATGCACAATTCATAATTTCAAAATGAATGCCTTTAATTAACTCTGCATTTATAAAGCAGTTGCTAGTATTTACATACACATCACCACTCGAAGCGTATTAGCTATTTACATTCAAGCCACATTCCCTATGAATGGAAAAAAAATGTATCACATTATTAAGTTAAAATGATGATATTTTGGATGTGATATGAAAATTATGAGTGGAATCAATGCACAACGCAAAGCAAAACTTAGGTGCCGCATATGTACATACATAGAGATTGAATGGCATGAATGCAAATTCCCCTTATCAAAGAGAGAGACCTTAACATCTTGCAATCCGCATAAACATGAAAAAGCAATCCCAAAATGACAACAAATTCCAAGAAATGCTCACAAATAAACTAAACTAATACGAGCCATATTTCAACTATTGTTCACCAGTTGTTAGAACAAGTTTCTACACAAAATCCATACAGATTTTTTTTTTCTTTTTTTTTAAAGGAAGTTAAAACAGCCACCTGAAAGGAAACAACAAAACAAGCACAAAACTTGATGTCTGCATTTAATATCTGGACCACATTAATAAGATCAATGGAGAGCACAACAGAGCAATCTTTTAGGGTTTTCTTCTTTTTTTTTTAAATTTTAGGCGTTTGAAGCTTTTTCTGTTTCATCCTTTTTCTCCAGATCTGCAGCTTCAATAGGATCTTCAGTCTTCGTTGCAGTGTCAGCCTCTGCAAATAAATGTTGACAATGAATTAAAAGTTCATGATTGTTTGGATGCAGCAATAAAATCAATAAAATGCTGAGCACACAATTCTTATATATTTACATATCTCACATGTAAACATTCATATTTACAGACATGAACTCAGATCTTTAATATCAAATAAAAAATAACACTATTTACTGGTTTTAAAAGTGAAATACATCTTTTCATGCATGGTTTTAAGCGCCAAAGTGTCATGTATGTAAATATGAAAGTTTGGGTGAGAGGTATGCAAAAGATTTCCATGCTACATATCTAAATTTCCCAAATATCAAAGAAGAGTTTGGTTAAGTTTTGAAAAGCAAATAACATTCATGGAATTGCTTGTGGATTGTTCCCAAAAAAATTGGGGTGGTTAGAGTAGAACATAGAAGTCTGAATTTTTTTAAAAATATACAGATGAGTCTGAGAGAACCCAATCCCCTTATATATAAATTTAAAGCAATTTTGTCAAAATCATGGTTCAGAGTGTATTTTTTAAGAATGCCGATTCAATGCGAGAAAGTCATGTTCAGGCTCAATCATGAAGCACACTGGGTTGAATCGCAATGCATGCACGCTTGTGAATTGTAAGCATGAGCCTCAAGTCGCGAGCCATATGTATCTCTTGAATGGTACTTAGGCTTTATGTTCCAACTATATAGTTTGCAAACATCACATCGATTTGTCACTCGATTCTTCTCAACTTCAACATAATTGTGAACTTTTCACTATACACTCGATCAATTGCAGTACAAACCGCTTTCCATGCCAGTGTTGAGCCCTAAAAATTGACAAACATTACTAAAAAAGCGGTCATTTTTTCGCAACCCCCGGACAAATATACAATTGCAACAACAACAACAAAGCCTTAATCCCACTACGTGGGGTCGGCTACATGAATCTTTTTTCTCCATTGCGTCCTATTTAGTGTCATATTTTCATTTAGTTCTAGTAAATTAAGATCATTTTTAATACAATAAGCCCAAGTTTTCCTAGGTCTACCTCTGCCTTTCTTAACACAAGTCGAATTTAAATAAATGATTTGAGTATGAGCAAGCTCGGTATAAATTTATATACAGCTCGTTCAAAAATTTATGCTTGAATTTAACTCGTGTTCGAAATTGTTCGTTAATATATTATTTGTATTGGAATTGTATTAAGCAAAATGGGCTTGTTTCTCGTTTAAGCTGGAATTAGATGGAATTAAAAAAAAATTACAGAATTTATCGGAAAAAAATATTTCTTTCATGAACATCTCTTTTCCATCATATAAAAGACTAGTGAGACCACACCGACATAAATCCTATACTATTTAAAAAAATTCATAGAAAAAAAATAGTAATTATGATGTACAAAAATTTAGCAATTAATAATGGTTTAGCAAAAGGTAATACTAAAAAGAAGAAAAAAAACCCCTGAGATTTATAATTTTTGCACTACCCAAAGTTCAGTAAAAATGTCTAATTAGTTGTTTACACAACAAAGCCTGACAGCCCCACCGGAATCGCCGCTGATTAAAACACTGAAAAAGGAAAATAGTTGGATCAGCTAAAGCATCAGTAGGAAAGCGCCAAGACAATGCCAAATGACAGATTGCAAACCCCAACCGAGAGCTGGTTCAACTTCAGTGACTACAAGGAACTCTGGTTGAAGACGACCTCCATTTTCCATTCTCAGAACTTGCCAATAGCTACGTCTCTAGGCATCTCGGGATGTACTTCCGAAGCCACGATCAGCACAAACTGCCTCCAAGGAGTGATGTTTGACTGAAAGACTAACCCCTAGTCGCTAGAAGCTACTCTAGTTAAGCTGCTAATAACCCTGCCTACTGTGCCAATGGAACCGACGCCGATTCCAAGAGCCCTGATAGCTTGATTACCGTGGTCTACTTTAAGGTCTTTACTTCAATACAGGCGAGGAAAGCTGATTAACACCAATCTTTAACAATTTGGGGAGCCAATGAAACTGACATTTTAGGTTCCGTTTGAAGCAGTTTATCGGTTGTGGCGGAGTTTTGAACACACCGCATTATCGTTTGGAAATTACATTTGAGCAGTTTATTCGAAAACGCAGTTGGTTTTTTATACTAAACGCAAAACAAGGGTCAAACTCCGCGGTCTGCGTTTCCAGAGAAGCACAAGCTGCTCCGAACACTCCCTTAGTCTCTAATTCATCCATTCAAGTTGATGTCTTCACCATCACCAATTGTGTTGCTTTGTTGCCCTTAGTTAGTGGAACTAAGTCCTATATCAGCTTGAGCACGAGAGCCCAATGAGCAAAGCTAATATAGGCTCAACCCCAGCTCGTTCTTGGTTGTCACCTCAGCAACACTAAAAAAAAGTTATTTTGTATGTTTTTTAGCAACATGGCTAAGGAACAAAATAAACTTAACCTTTTCAGAGCGTTGCGAGCATATACATGGAGAAAATATTATGTCCAGAGTCCAGACGCAAACTATGTCTGAAAAGCGGATGCAAGCTTTGTTCGAACAACCGTTGCCACCATATATCAACACCTAAGGAAGCTACTCGACCAATACTCCAAGGAAATCCAATGATTACTCCACAGGATTGAACTAGTCTAAGCTGAGCCCGTTTTAATGACACTTTCCTATATTTATCTTACAATCATTTTATGAACGACTCTTCCTATAACTCTTGTGACCGCAGATCCAACCAATAGATAGGGATTACCTGTACACTATGAGTTTTAACATTTTTTTTTTAAGTATTTGACTAAATTTCCCTTCTTTACATTACATTCTCGAGCCTTTTAGTATTTTTTTTTCCTTCTTTTTCTATATTTATTTTCTTGTGTTTCTCATTTTCTCTGGATTAATATGGTTTGTGATCAATCAAGTGGAGGAAAAATCAAGATCCAACATGGAAGATGATTTGTGATCTGTCTTTTCCAATATTAAAAATTCCTCATTTATTGTTAAAATAATTATAATTCACATAATTTCATCAATCAAGAATTACTTTGAGATTCCTCCATTCAAAACTCAAACATTAGACATACCCAAATATTTTGAGAATGTTTTTAATTTATTTGGTACTTTTTGTTGTTCTCCTACTTTAGTGTTAATTGTAATAAGGAATAAAATATTCTCAAAATACACGCAAAAATTGTGAATTTTAGTTAGCTTGATTAGATGTGTTCGGAGGTTTGGTCAAAACAATTTAATTGTGAGTTGGCTAATTTTCTAAATTTCCTCAATTATTCCTCTTTTTAAATCTTATTTAATTAAAAAAATGAGATTTTACTATTCATTTATTTTGTTATACCATTTAAGTTTTGTTCTTCAAAATATTTAATTTTTAACAGATTAGATTTTATATTTTCTTTCATTTAATTTCAATTTGAAATATCTTGAGGTATTCTATTTTTTTTTAATTTCAATAATCAATCAATTTACAATATTTTCATGAATTTATAAAGTATTTAAATCAAGCTTTATTTGATTTGATTTAGTTTGCTCACAAATAGATTCTTATCTTAGTAATGTAATATCAAATTATATTAACTTCTATTCAATATGGTTACAGCCCTTTTAGTATGATGTATATCTTGGTCATATGCATTTTACTCCTTGCACAAGAAGATAGACATTAATCCAGGGTGCTATAATCATTACATTAGCACTCTATCCTCCTAACATGATTAATTTCATGTCAACTTTGTGACATTACCTAAGCTTTATTGCTATGCATGGGCTCCAAAAAATTGAAATGACCCTGACCTTTCTCAAAAAAGAAATGGACGATGAAGAAGTTTACTGTGAGGTTTCAAGTCAACTTTTTAGATGGCAAATAAATAGTAAAAAAGATACTTCCCAGATATTTTGCCCTGATTTTCTGAGGACTTTAAGATCTGAGGTTTGAGTTCTCTAGTAGCGCCATCCCCTATGGTCAATTACCTCGATTGATGCCAGTAGGAACTTTCAATTAAGGTTATTCATTAAAGAGTGAATTGCTTAGCATATAGTAGCAAAATATTTAAAATTTTAAATTTAAAAATATTATCAATACGAGCTTAAAAGTGAATTATGGCGGAAAAGATGATGCATCCGATCAAGCTCACATGATTTTGTCATCCAGGGTGTCATGGACCCTTGCTTGTCTACTTAGTAAGGGGATGTAGTCGACCCAACCTGATAATGATCCTTATCAATAACCATGGATTGCTTTGTCGAAGGGGATTTTGTAGACTTGGAGTGAATATTTGTCTAAGGGGGATTTATCTAAGTTGACTTTAGTTGATAGAGGATTCGTTACCAATCAAGTATACTTTATGATTCTTTACTCAAAAAGACAAAATACTGTTGAGGAACATACAGGCTACAACCCTTGTTAAAATATAATAAGAAAAGTGTCAAAATAGTCCCTCAACTACTTAATCAGGGCCATTTTAGTCCCTCACTTCAAAAAAGTGTCAAAATAGTCCCAATTGTTCAAGTGGGGTTGAGTTAGTCCCACCATTAAAAAAATATGAAATTAGAGTTTAGGGTGTTAAAAATAAAGGTATTTTCGAATTATATTCTTTAGGAAATCATTGGCCAAAATCCAAGAATATATGTATTAGATATGTATTAAATAATAGCAGTTATTTAAACACAACCAACTCACTGAGAGCTGTTTAATTATGGTTATTTTAAAAATATCAAATAATTTTGAACATTAATGAATGCTACCTTCCTTCTTCACTAAACATTAATGTAATATTCTTAATAATTTTTATGTTTATAAGAAATTTTGATTGAAAACATACTCTTGATGAAACTAAAGAAGTTTTTATTTCATATTATTGCGAGATATATATAAAAAATTTGCATGCTTGAACGAATATATAATGAGTTGTACCTAGGTCTCTTCTAATGTCATACAAATAATATATTTTAAATAATGATGATTTTGACTTTAAAAAATTTGTTTAAAAAGATTTCAATAAATTGGCAAAGTTTAAACTCATACTTTCAAACTGCAACTACAAAAATGATAGCATTTTAAAAGAAATTAAATTTATTGAAAAGAAATTTATAACTTCAATCAACCATCACCACTAAAAGAACCATTACGATATCTGTGTGATTTTCCATATTTGACAAACAAACACACACACACACACAAACACACACACACAAAAGAGCTATAGATCAGCCGATCAATCTTAACCCCACAACAAACTAAGATTCAATATTTCTGTTACTGTTTAACAACCTTCATATTTCTGTTACTGTTTAACAATGATGTTTTTCATTTTGTTAGCAATTGATCTGAAGGTAGATAGTATTTATTATATATAACATACTATATCTTTTTAAAGAAGATACCGCTCAATTGCTATGTATTTACATATCTAGAACCTATACTTCAATTTTTACAAACATACCAACCTTGGATGTGCATGAAAAGGTGCATTTCACTTTTTAAAAGTTAAAACGGTGAACTTGTTGATGTGATGTGAAAGATTTGGGTGCAATAGATATGAAAATTAAAGCTCGGGTGTTACATATGTAAATACATAAGAATTGGGTGGTATGTATGTAAATGCCCCTAAAAATTAATATGATGAATATAAAAGGTATTGACACAATTAACACGTCAGCTTGAATCATTAATGAAGTCCCAAGTCAACATATGGTTAAGCCAGATTTTTTTCCGATCGCACCTCATTCTAAGTTCTATATTCATTTCACGGCGAAGCCTCAAGTCCGGTAGAATTAAAGAAAGTCCCTGCTTTCCAATCTTCAGAGGCAATTATGCCCTTTTTGGTAAGAAACAATAGTATTCAAATTAGGGGAAGTTACATAGATAGCACATATTTCAAATGTATTTACATATCGAACACCTAAGTTTGATATTTGTATTCATAACACTTGGATGTTATAAACCCATGCATGAAAAATGTGTATTCGAAGATTGGGCACCAGAAATTACCTTCATCATCACTAACATCAAGATCATCATCACCGTCCATTCCCCTCATATTACCGAATTTCTGTAAAAAAATTAGGACACAAGCATTAACAATTGCAAACATCAAAACTTAGCAAAAAATTTAAAATAAGAAAGAAAATTTTAAATTACCGAGAAGTCCATTCCTCCAAAGTCATCAGCATTAGGGCCTGTGTCAAAAATACAAGGTTAGGCTCCTCAAAAAGACTAATAACATACCAAATTAGACATGTCAAAGCGTAGAGGAACAATTTTGTGAATATCAAATACAAACATAAAAATGTTACGAAAAAATGCCATAAATTTAGTAGCGCCTAGAAAAATACTGAAAACAAAGTAGTCTACAGAACTGCCGAAGGATCAACATTGTGGAAAATGCAATTAAGATTTCTATTCATGGAAGAAAAAGAAAACATCTATGATATTATGACATTTTACTTTCAAAAGGGAAAGAAAAAAATATTCAGCTAAGTCAAAATGGAGCACTTCTACTGTTACAAAGTTCATCAATTGGGGTGTAAACAAGTCAAGTTGAGTTCGTGTCACCATCGGCTTGAGCTTGATTAATTTATCGAGCTCGAGGATGAGCTTACTTTTACAAGTTGGAGTCTGCTCACGAGCCAGCTTGTTTAATATTAAAAAGAGAAAATAATATAAATTCAAATTAGTGTTATAACAAAATAACAAATAGAATGAGTAATTAAGAGAAAAATAATACAAAACCACTCAATATAAAATACAAAATATCATTTTGTTAATATTTTAATAATTTATAGATTAAATTTTAAATTTTAATATACTTTGAGCATATTTTATATCAATTAGTCTTTAAAAAAGACTGCACACAAGCTAACGAATCAAGTTGGGGCTAGCTTGTGCTTGGCTTGTAAGCTCATCAAGCTCATTCACAAGCCACTTATCGAGCGAGCCCGAGTCAAATCACGAGTCAGCTTGGCTCACACTCACATCATCATCACAGAAAAATATTTGATCAATAACCAATAAATATGCAAACATAATTGTGGTTATATGAGAATAAACTCAGCAGTACTTTAATGTGCTCCAAAAGACTTCAAAGTTCTTCCCCTACAGCTTATGCATAATTCATGCCTTCAGACAATTCAATTATTAAAAGATTATTCTTTAGGGTCATTTACATACATAGCACACAATTCTTATGTATTTACATATCTCATGCTTAAAATTTGATACTTACACATGTAGTACTTAAAATCTTTGATATCACACTAAAAACAGCACTATTATCACTTTTTAAAAGTGGAATACACTTTTTCATGCATAGGTTTAAAGCACCAAAGTGCTATGAATGTAAATATGAATGTTTAGGTGTGATATATGTGAACACATAAAAATTGTATGCCATGTATATAAAAATAAACAGAAGTAAAGAACAAACCATCATCCTCATCTTCCTCTGCCCATCTATCCCAGTCAACTTTAATGTAGTGAGGTAGCTTTCCATCACCACGCAATAGCTTCTTCCACCACCCTTTCTCAGCTTTTTCTATAACACAGAAGATGCTCCTAACGCCAGTGTTTAGTTTGCTTGCCTACAGAAAAAACGAATTTTGGTCGAAAAAACAAGATGCATTTGAAAGTGTCGATGATAGTGTCCGTGCATGACATTAACCTTACCTCAACGTTTACTTTATCAAATAGCTCCAATTTGACCTCATACAAGATATTGTCTGAACCAGTGATGCCAGAGAAAGTGAAAACACCATCTGGATCAAGATTAATCTGAACATTCTTTGCATCAGCTAAGAGAATAGTAAGGTAGATCTTGTCGGACCTTTGTGCCCACTTGACTTCGGGATGACGACTACAAAAATAGGATACGTGATATTAAATTAAAAGAGAAAACATCCAGCGGATATTTCTGAGCATTTTATTTATGCCAAGCTGAATAAAATATGATAATAATAAAGCAATAAAAAAAATTTTAACTGATGGCATTTGCGAGAAAATGCATGCTCTAGAAAGATGAATCTACCAAATTCAAGTATAAAACATATATGTAATTTCAGATAAAAAGACTTGTGTATCCAGCTTTATTACTGGACATCTAAAAATTTCAGGACCTACATAACATACGACCAACTCTTTACACAAAATAATGAAATAATCATTGTCGATGAATTATTGATGATTGTTGATTCCCAAAAAGGCATTGTTATAAACAAATTTATTTTCAAAAATATCCAAATGCCTAAATTACTCGCCAATTTATCTATCTAAAAATTAAAAATAGATTCTAAAGGTATTGTTGCATTTTACCCTTTACATTGTGTATTTCAAGAACATGGCACAAGAAAAACAATTTGGAATGCTAAAGAAAGAGTCACTACCATCTTAATATATTCAATAACCAATGAAGCTTCATACTACACATTGTATTATCTTTCCTTTCTGGAACCTTTAACTCGAATAAAGATGAATATGTCCATCATCTATGTCATAGCCAATCTTATTTTGTTATTCTTAAAATTATTTCTTTTATTATTAAAAATATTAATATTGAAGAACTTCATAGTGATATTTATAAGTTAACAAAACACAAGCATATAACTTTTCTAAGTAGCACAAACCCAAAGTCGTTTTCTTGCATTCATAGTGATACATGACGACCATCTTCTACAACTAACATATTTCGAGCTTGATGCTTTGCCATTTATTAAAGACTACACCAGTGTATCATTTGTACATCATTTTCTCCGCTTCTTGAACATGATCAAAAATAAATTCAAAGTTGTATTACAATAGGCGAATTTGATAATGCCTTAAAACTTTTTAAAAACATTCTCTTCACTCATAATTTCAAGAAAAAGTAACCCTAGAGTTGTGTCGACCAATATGCATACACCTCAACAAAATGGGGTGATTAAGGGCTCGTTTGGGGCCGCTTTTTTCGTGTAGCGCGGCCACAAACCGCAACGCGTTCGAAGTTTTCAGCATTTGAATTAAGCGTTCGCGGCGGGCGGCTGCAAATTTAACAGAACGTGGGGCCGCGGAATCGACCCAGCGGCTCGCGTTACCGATCCAGAAATTCCAGTATTTTCCCCGCAAAATTGCCGCTGCCCTAGCGAAGCTGAAGGAGGTTTTTGCCCTATTGTCTCGACTTGCGAAGTTGAAGGAGGTTTCTGCCCTAGCATCTCGACTCGCGAAGACCCCCTACTCCCGAAAGCGTTGCAATTCGACGATCCCCTTCGAAGCATCAAGCCCCCTCGCAAAGCCCCCTGCTCCCTACGCTCCTTCTTCCACCGTCTCTTGAAGCACTGAGCCTCCCCTTCTTCCAGATCAAGGTACGCTTCACTCCCATTCTCCTCCACCATCGCTTGAAGCACCGGGCGCTCCTTCTTCCCCACCTTCTCTTTAACTTGTTATGGTGCTTAAGGCTTGATTGATGTTGCACATTTCGCAAAGGAAATAGATATTGTAGATCCTGTTGGGAAGGATTCAACTTAAAACTATGAAGATTAAGAAATCACATACCCTTCGATCACTCAAGACTGGAGCTCCCTTCATTAATCTAACTTTCGGCACTATGCTTTGTGATGGCATCTTAAAAGCTATTGTTTCATGAGTTCTGAACTGGTTGTGGCTCCAGAATTTTAATATTTGATAGGACAATTCAACATAAGCAGAGTTTACTTGAACAACAAAAAAAACTTGCATCAATCCTTCTCCAATATATATCTCGGCTTATAATTTCACCTGAGAAATATATACAAAAGGAAGTGAATAAACTTCATGGTCTTGAACCATCTCCAACACAGTTCTAATCTTTTCCATATTACATTTAAGTTTCATATGTTTTTTGCTTAAAGTTAACTTGAAATATTTACTCTGCGAAATTATCTTTACATTCCTACAAAACTTTAATTGAAAGAGTGATTCATCTTCAGCAAATGTAGCATTAAAAGCGTGGCATTTTTGTTCCTGCCTTCCTTTAGGTTCTTCTGAATTTTCTTCCTTTCGAAAACTTTATGTTCCTATTTATGCTAGTTGGTTGGTGGAGAAGGTGTGATGGACATAAATTTTTCTCTATTTGTTGTTAAGTTGATTGATAATTGTTTCTTCTATCAGGTTAATTCAATGTTCTTAGAATGGGGTAACAGATTGGCAGTTATTTTGTTTGTTTACTTGTATAATTTTGGAAGGGGCATTTACATATAAATCACCCAGTTCGTATGTATTTTTAATTACCTAATTTTTTTCACATAAAAAATTGCTATTTGACTCTTAAAACATGAAATGCATATTTTTATGATGGCATATTTTTATAAAAAATTCTTATGTCTTCACTACAAGCAATATCTTACAAGTTCTTCACTGCTCAACCTTTAATAACAAAATTTTTAAAAGAATTTAATTACTTGATGTACACTCCGCTACTTATCAATGTTAAAATAATTGACTAATGAATTATATTTCGTTGCATTTAAGAAAGATGAGGTCTTGAAATTCAGGGACGTCCTAAAGATTGTTATATTACTGCAGACTAGTGACTTCCTTTCTGATGTCACGGCAGGCCCACAGCTACAGTCGACACTTTTACAAATGCCCTCGGAGACTCGCAGAATAGTGTGACTTCTTCCGCTGAGCTGACAGTCAGGTCGATTCCACTGCTGGAAGTAATCGCGAACTAATAGCATTATTAGAGAAAGATTTAAGAAGAGACATTCATCACTTTCATGTTAAAGAAATATCATTATTAGTTTACTTGTAATTTTATTTATTTATTTTTCCTTAGCACTTTTCATACTCACTGCTAAGTGAGTAGTGTATTTGTACTCTTATGTTTTGAAATAAATTTTTTACTTCCAAAATATCAAATATGTTCTTATCATAGTTCTGTCTTAAACAACTTAACTAAACAGGGACAAAATGGTCATTTTATCCAAAAACAGTTGCCCCACAGCTGTTTTCATACCGCAGCAATAAACAAGCAACCAGCTTCCCCAATGCAGCTTTCCCACAGCTGCAGCTGCAGCTGAAAAACTGAGAAGCTGCAGCTGCGCTAAACAGACCCTAAATGAAAGAAAGGCTACCTACGACCTATCATAAAAGCTCTCTTTTTCAAAAAATATTGCAAAAGAATACCAGGCAAACCTACCTTAACAATTGTTCACATCAAAGACCGAATATCTACAAGAGACCTTGAGTTCAATAATCCTACTAAAATCCTAGCTAAATTCATTACTCACTTCAACACCTAAAATAAAATTGTTCTCACGATATTGCAAGTGCTCACTTTGCCTATACACATTCTCAAAAAAAAAAAAAAAAAAAAACCAAAAATAAACAAAAAAT